CTCAGATTGCGAGTCAAGTGCCCTAACCACCTGGCCATACTGGGCCTAGTTACAACAGATAGTACTATTATATTTATATAGATTAAATGACGTTAATTTTAGTTAGGCGAGGTAGGAATATAATTTGTTACATCTATCACATTTATTACCTGTATTTTCTCCTGAATCTGGTCAGCAGTGGCGATGTTGGGAGAATGTAAACGAGGAAAGGGCGAGTTCGTAGCACTAGCGTTGCAAGAGAGTCGTGTAACGACATCAAAGATGATCAGAGCGCCCTCTCCTGTTCCAACGAGTAAACTTCCATCAAACGGAAGGAGAGAAGTAACTCGAGAAGACTTAACGCCATTTTCTTCTTCCTGGACAAAAACAGAAAAGGAAAAAAATATATATATATATTTATTTATCTTCACTTATGGTAATTTCTATTTTCTATTCTGTAAATTAAAAGAAATACAACCGGAATCTCGGGAATTGTTAAAGTGGAGCAACGACACTGAATGTTGTTTAAACATGTCATTTAGGCCTAACATTCATAGTAGAGTGCAGATATTTCTTTTTCATTGTTAATTATTGTGAATGTCGTGTGTATATTATATCCTATAGAAAAAAAAATGCTCCCCCTTGCCCTCTACCCCGTAATCTCGCCTGCTATTTGCTTCAAATACATAGGCCTATATCCTTAGCGTTCAAAACAATGGCTGACCTCATCTTGGACCAAAAGTCATCCAGTGACGACGCAATGATCAACCTAGACATGGAGTTAATTTCTTAAGTATAACTTTAATAAAGGAGAACAAACGTAAGGTCCCCAGCATGTGAATCGAAATTAATTTATTTTATATTTCTTCTGTCTACAACTAAATTAACTCCGCCTTAATCGTCAGTATTTTACTTATCACAGATAGTACAGGATACAGGAATATCATGTGTTACATGTTGGACATAGTACTATCACCTGTCTAATACCACGAGCATGTTGTATAAGGTAGAAACATTTATCTGATACCACGAGCATGTTGTATATGGTAGAAACATTTATCTGATACCACGATAATGTTGTATATGGTAGAAACATTTATTTGATACCACGATAATGTTGTATATGGTAGAAACATTTATCTGATACCACGAGCATGTGGTATATGGTAGAAACATTTATCTGATACCACGAGTATGTTGTATAAGGTAGAAAATTTATCTGATACTACGAGCATGTTGTATAAGGTAGAAACATTTATCTGATACCACGATAATGTTTTATAAGGTAGAAACATTTATCTGATACCACGAGCATGTTGTATATGGTAGAAACATTTATCTAATATCACGATAATGTTGTATAAGGTAGAAACATCTGATACCACGAGCATGTTGTATAAGGTAGAAACATCTGATACCACGAGCATGTTGTATAAGGTAGAAACATCTGATACCACGAGCATGTTGTATAAAGTAGAAACATCTGATACCACGAGCATGTTGTATATTGGTATCAGATGTTTCTACCACGAGCATGTTGTATAAAGTAGAAACATCTGATACCACGAGCATGTTGTATATGGTAGAAACATTTATCTGATATCACGAGCATGTTGTATAAGGTAGAAACATTTATCAAATATTTTGATAACAACGAATTCGGTAAATTCGTGACTTGTTTGATTAAAGGTCGTATTTAGTTCACTTTAATTATAGAAACAACACGCCTTGTATGTCCAACAATTATCTACTGCCTATAAAACCACCACCTGACAGCTACATCATTCAAAACGTACATCATTTACAAAAGAGTGCTCATCTTTAGTTGCTTATAATGAAAGAAGGACGTTGGGAATCATATTGAATATACACATATATATACAGGAATGTGAAAATCAGAGAGAGAGAGAAATATCAAAGCACAGAGTTGTAAACGTCTAACAAAGCATGACTAGAACATCTATGATTGTTCTGGTATGCCAAAATCCATTTAGAAACGTCAAGCCTTAAGGAGTATAATGTAGAAACTGGCAAGACATGATCTCTTATTGGTTAATAGGCGTGATATTACACTCCAATGCTGCTGACAGGAATCTGACGCACATTATTTAACAACGTGTTAGGAGTGATAGCCATCTCATCTAAGGTAAACAATAAGTTTGTAAACAGGGCGTTTAACGCAATTACTCGTGATAATCTCGTGAACATGAAGCTCTGAGAAAATACCCTTCCCAAGCGGTGAATGACCTATAGTGATAATAATGTTTACGATAACTCAAGTAAGCTGAAGATACAGAGTTAATGCTGCCCAGGTTAACAAGTGATTGGAGTGTAAAGTTTGAATATGATAAGTGGCAACAGCTGTTATAGAGATTGGTGTGATGGATTCATTCAAGAAGCATTTAATTCCCAGTCTGTCAAAAGCATTGCTAATGATTATATTTTGTAAAACATTCATTTCCCAGTCCGGTAAATGCTTTGTTTGCTTCTAATGCTTATATCTCATCAAACATAGTGATGAAAAAAGTTTAAGTTAATCTAACAAAAGTACCCGTCCCCAGTGACGGAAAAAGTTTAAGTTAACCTATCAAAAGTACCCGTCCCCACTGACGGGAAAGTTTAAGTTAATCTAGCAAAAGTACCCGTCCTCAGTGACGGAAAAAGTTTAAGTTAATCTAGCAAAAGTACCAGTCCCCAGTGACGGAAAAAGTTTAAGTTAATCTATTAAAAGTACCCATCTCCAGTGAGGAAAAGTTTAAGTTAATCTAAAGTACCCGTCCCCAGTGACGGAAAAAAGTTTAAGCTAATCTATCAATTTAAATTATTTCATGAACTTTAAAAAGGTTAATTATGTTGCACTCTTGATTTCACTCAGAACCAAAGCTCTAAGCTATTTATACCGCCCACTGTGAAAAGTAATTGCGTACATTTTTATTCTTTAAGTTACGTCACATTTCGAAATGTGAATGATAGTGTGATTAAATCCTAACAATTTAGTGTAGAATATCCTGCTTGCGAAATAGAATTTGGCATCAACATTATTCATGCCTGTTCTCCCGTTATTTCAAAAGTGAATGTTGAGCTTTGCCTGCGTGCGCAACTTTTCAAACGGGAGACACACGAACGCTCGGACAGACACCACGGTATGCAATATATATATATATAAGATTTCATTCCCCAGTTTGTCAACAGCCTTGTTTGTTCCCAGTGGTTACATTTTTTCAAAACTTTTTTCATTTTGCTTGTTCTTAATAAATTACTCCATTGGCGCCGAACGTGTGGCCACCAACGACACTGAAGTTAAGCCTTATTAGCGAAAAAAGAGTGTAGTAGTTTGAGTTGCTGAAAGTGCCCTATACTTTAGTTCGTAGATCGCTAACCTGGTGGTGAGAAATACCTAACTATTGAGAACTATTTGTTTTCTCCTTCCTTGAACTGATGACAGAACACGCACGAGATTCACCTGAAGTCTGTCTCAGAGCTACACACCTCGCGCTCTCTCTCTTTCCTGATTGTTGTAATATGACAATTTTTCCAGAAATCGACCAATAGTGAAAGCTTTGCATGTGTATACACTTTGGCTGGGGTTTTGTTAAGCAGTCACGTAACTTTGCCCATCCTTTGATGTTAAACAAAGACGTTAATAAATGTTTCTCTGCAGAAAAGAAGGTCTCGCTGCTAGAGCGAACTGTTACCAACGTGTCAATGTTGACGTCTCATTCGAAAGAAAGAGACACGGTAGAACGATTACGGCCATTGTTGGAAGCGTGTACTTACGTTAGCGAAAGTTATTAAAACGTGTACCCTGGTGTTCACCGTAATATTTTCACTGGACATAGACGAAAATCAGTGTTATAACTCGACGCTGTGAGGGTCTGAGTGGAAGGGAGTCAAAGGAGAAGAATAAGGCCCCGTCATTTAGAACTAGGGGAGGAAGATTGAACATATAGATACCATAAAGCAAAAAAGAAAAATGAAACCAGCAGAAAGAGAGAGAGAGAGAGAGAGAAGGGAATCAAATAAACGGAAGTGTGAAACTGGTGAAAGGAACAAGAGAAAGAAGAGAACAAAAAAGAAAAACGAGTTTTAAAAAATATAAAGTAAAATAAATAAACTTTTGTCCTAGCAAAAAGTTGCAGCTTCGGCTACCTGTTTCGCGTTTGTCGCGGGGAACAAACCCCGAATTATAGCAATATTATGAACTCTCAAGGTTACGGCTAACAGAAGAAGGTACAAAAAGTAAGACGCGTTGTATAAATAACCCAAGTACCTAAGAATACCACATTGAACAAAAAGCCAGCACTGTCAATTTGTATTTAAGTTATATAAAAATCTAGAACACTTTTATAATTATTCTACAGCTATAAGCTGTACATGTAAGTTGGTATTAACATACCATACGATGGTACAGTACGTTCAAAACTGGGACAGAATTCAAATAAAAAACACTAAGAAAAGATGATACACAATCGACTCAACATTCGTAGGAAGGGGGTTTATCGGGGGGATGATGATGATTGAAACTCTGCCATCTGTAGTGAAATATGATCATATTCTTAAGATATCGCTACGAATTTGGTTGAATAAAGAAGTTTCTGGCAACTAATAACACATACTTTTAACTGTAAAATAATAAATATATGCCGCTAAACAAGATTCTGGCAACTGATAACACATACTTTTAACTG